AGTGGAGCCTTCAGAAAATAGGTCACAACAACAGACTGACAATTAGATGGCCAGTGATATGGGATTGTAACAGCAGGTTACTAATAAAGAGAGTGAAAGCATTCACGTGGGTCTGGGACTCATAGCAAGGTTACATTAAGCTGCTGTGATGATAGTTAGTGAGCTGTAGATTTATATCTTCAGAGATGAATTCTGTTACTTCAGGCATAAAGAGAAGAGAAGTTGGAGCTGCTTTAGCAGAGATTCTTATAAGTGCTTAAGGTCAACTCTAATTAAAACTGTGAGTAAAGCCCCCTGACCATTTCATGCTTACCTTTCTAGTGTTCTCCCACTATTCGTTCCTCTGTGGTTGCCACTGTAAAATAACTGGTATAAGGTATGGTGGAGCATGTGGCCACCTCCCATGATGCATTACTCAAACCTAGCAGCCAATCATGGAAGGGGTGGTCAACACTTTCGAAAAGTGGGACATCACTACTTCCCCCAAGCTCTGACATGAGTCACTCTGGTAGCCATTAATTGGTCAGATGGTGGACTTTACACAGACAATGTCCTAAATGGGCAAGTTTACAAGGTCACTTCAAGCCTTGACATTTATATATTTACACATTTACAACACAGTCTACTTATCATTGCTTCGATATTTCTGCTGTACCATGGCCTCTTTGTCTGTTATCTGGTCATCTGAGAACCCCTTTTTGGGATGAAGGAAAGCAATTTGTAGTCAAATTCAACCAGCCTACTGTCAGGGTTTCTTACACTTTCTTGTCTAGTTCAACTGTAGGCTATCTTCTGTTGCAGTGTGTCTGACACTGTGTATTCCTCTTTGGTGCCCTCTTATGACCAAATCCATAAACATCATCACTCTGCAGCAACTAACAAACTTCTGGCAACTGCCTGTCTCAGAGCGATGAGGTAACACAAGTTCATTATTTAACCATTAGCTTGTTCATTTAGTCTCTGCCCTTGCATTTGTTCAGATCTACCAAGTGCTTTGCAGTTGTTCCTGTGCTCCTTGTATGACCCTGGCCTTGGCTGACTGATCTCCTGGTTACTGACTCCGGTTATTGTTTCTGTTCATTCTGCTCTCAGAGTTCCCTGACCTGGTTTGGTTGACTACCCTCATCTGGCTTGGCAGCGACAACCTACTGGACTTTCTACATTGTTTGTGCCATTTTTGTTTATTGTTATTTTCAATGACTTCCTTTTTTTTAACCTACACTTTAAGTTTCTGTCTGGTTTCTTGGTACCCTAACACCTTGTAATTTTCAACATGACTTCTGATACACGAAACAGAGAGGAAGCTGCACAGTACAATCCTTAGGAAGTACACTCCCATGGCACAGATTGAAAGAACTTTAAGGCACCACAACACACAGTTGTGGTATTTTCTGGACAGCATTTGTAGCTCATTGGTGTCCTTCTTATGGCTTGGTCTTGTCAGATAGACATTCTGCTAATTCAGATAGACATTCTGTAACCTCCATTTCTGTAGGCTTACCTTTCCATTACAGCAGTTTTACAGTGTGTCTAAATATGACTGTGCAAACAAATAGGCACTAAAGTGAGATCTAGTGCACTCAACAATCATTAGTCAGTAACAGAATTGGTCAAACACACCCCCTTCCCTTCTCTGAAATACAAGTCTGTGTGACGACACTCATGATAAAGGGCATGGCTATTACTCAGCTCTGCCAGCATAGAGCACTGCACTAAGTTCCGTAAACAGCATCTTCACTGAAAAAAAGCACTTTAAGGCAAAGCAGCCATTAAGGGTGATACAGAACTATAAAGGGAAAACATTTTTACATTTAAATTGTTTTAAATTGTTTTAACTTAATGAAACCGATGGCAGGCATGTACAGCAGATGCCCTAAATACAAAGATTATTCTTCCTTAACTCCCAGCATCTTAGGCACTTGTTATGAAAAACTCAAATTTCTCAGAGAAAGTTGAGCTGTGAGCCCATTCTGAAACACACTGTCAGTCAGTGAGGTTGCCCATTACACTCACGGACCAATCGTGGTGTGCAGGGGCCGGGTTGGAGATTGCATTTCTCCAAAGTTGAATCTTCTCTTTTTTGACTAATGTTTCTAAGTCTTCTAAGTGTTCAATGCGCCTAATGCTATAGATACGTTTGTTTTATGCACATTTAGTGAATTATGCCTCCCAAGTGCATCTTTTTTCTAGTTAAACGGATCAGCTGTTAGCCATCTTTTCCCTTCTCGCATTGCCTGTATTAGATATGGGACCCATACGGAACCCACAGATCTGAAGGTACCTAATTATGTGCAGCTCTCTGAGATAAAGACAAAAAGATAACTGAAAATATCTTGATATATCACAAGAAGAAATCAGCATCTTGTTTTATGTAATTGATATATAAAAATCTTTTGATACATTTGACCACTGCTGTATATCTAAGGAGAAGCAAATAATGTGATCAGAAGAGCCAGCGCAGTGAAAAAGAAAAAACAATGACTGGCATTCCCTTCCCAGTAGTTGAGCTGAATAATTATAATTGTCTCACAGGTTCATAGCACACTTAGGTTAAACATGAAGGGAAGATTGCTTATTACAAATTTGCTGCAACTCTCGCCAACAAATCCTCAGAAGTAACATTGCAGATTCATCAGTTTCTCATGCTCCTAAAACCAATTGTCTGTAACTCTAGTAAGAAAACAAAAAAAAAAATATTCTAGCCACGGCCAGGAAAAGTCAGAAATAAAAGAGGGCATTATAGGAAGCGTGTCTACTTCAAGAAAATCTCTAGTTTTGTAAGAAAAGATACAAACATCTGCTACACAATTTATTTTGTAATATATTGTTATTAAAATAACTTTTTATATTTCAATCAACAATTGAAAACTAAGCCATTGTTTTCTATCAAGAAATGAACAAACATCTAATTTCTGCATCCTTGTAACTATGACAACAATATTCCACCAACAATCAGAATTTCTTTACGTCCATTTTCCTGTACGTGCCTCACCTACTTCTGCTAGACATCTGCCCAGAGTCAGGACATTCCTTATAATGAGGCAGCCTGAGGTGGTTGCCTCAGGCAGCATCTCGTTGAATCACGTAGGGGGCTGCAGCACCCTTTCCAGACAGAGCATCCCAGGAGCTCTTAGCAACCTGTGATGCTCTGGCTGGCGCACTGCTCAGCTCAGTTCTGTCACCGGTTGCCCGGTAGCTAAGTGGGACACCAGGCAGAGGTAACCCCCAGTAATGTGTGCCACCCACACCCCCCTCCCCTTGGCTTCAGGCAGCCAAAATTGTAGGGATGCCCCTGCCCAGAGTTTGAGGTCAAGATGCAGGCATCCTGTGTCACTGGAATATGACATCTTCACTAAGGTTTACAGCAATGGAAATTTCATCTTTGAGTGTGAATGTGCAAGTCTAAAGGCTTGCCAGGGCCATGCCCTGAGTCTACACAAGACATGCTAACTGTCCCCTGAGAGGTAAACAGTTTCCTAATTCAGTTGCTCACCTACTAATAAACTGCTAAAAATGGACACTATTCATTGTATGCCGATTGAGCACTTGTTCTGAAAATTAAAGAGTAAGAATAATGAAGACGTAAAAAAAAATAATTCTAAAACACCGGAGCCCTTTGAAAAGATTCTTTGTTTTTTTGAGTTTGTATATGACATTTCTGAGTTCTGTTAACTGCCAGGCACTTTGACAAAAATGCAAGTACAACAAACACAACAAAGCTCAACATGAAGCTCCCCAAATGTCAACACCGTGCTTCTAATATCTCTGCTCCTAATTCCAACTAAGCCCTGTTTTCTTGGAAGCAAAACATTTAAGTACATGGTTATCGTATCTGTGTGCTCCTCAGCAATTTATTGTTAGGCGTGAAAATAACATTTTCTGTCAACCCAAAACCCGTTTTCTTGGGAGACGCCGGAGTATTAAACTGCTTAACAGTTTCTCATGCTTCCCTGGAGATCTCTTGGTGAGATCTCTGCACCGCTTTTCAGGGTGTGTCCATATGTGGACAATATGTGGATCCATTTCTGGTGGATGTTTAATTTATTTTAAATTACTAGTAAATGTGTGCACAATCATGAACAAGTTAATTTAGGTTCAATAGTCTTTAGCTTGGGAGTGATTTATAATTGGTTTCCATCGCTGGAAACTTTAGGCGCATAACTTTTCATGTAAGAAACATCCTTCTGCTAGATGTACCTCACACAGAACATTTTCTTGTTAGACTGGACCTAACCTGGCTTAGAATATGTTTAAATAAGCCCATATGAGATGAAATGACTGTATTATTTGCATCATTGCCATGGCACGGGAGGGGTTGGCACTATAACATTGTCAATAGAACAACCTGTCACTTTGCATGGTGAAGTTGTGGTGGAGGGGGCTGGCCCCCATTCCCATGGTAATTGATGGATTTGCATCTTGTGCATCCATGTTGCCATGGTAGTTGAGGTTCTGGCACCAATATCATGTTGATGGAGGGATCTGTCCTGCTGACAATGTTTTACCAGACAGGAAGCAGGGGGGACAATCTCTAACAGCAACACAGATAAAAATAAAAAGCTTTAGTAGAGCATGGGATCGCTATAAATGTTATAGTTATATGTGTCCCAGTTGCAAATGTTCAAATATTCCGTCATCCCATCTGGAGAAACCATTGTCAGCAGGACAGAAAATGAGAGTAATTATCGCTATGTAAACTGTCAATTTCAACCATCCCTACCTTGGGGATGGTAACCCTTGTAGCAACATCCAGTATATTCAGAAGAATTGGATGAATACAACTGCTTGAATTTTAGGAATCACACATGTTGTATAGTTGGGAAAACTATTTATGTATTTTTATAATTTTGTTCTTTTTTACAGGCTTAACACCCAAATACTTAAGCATATTTAACCATGTAATAAAACATGATGTCGATGGAATTTATAGAATTCCTCTAGAATTTTAAGGTATAACAAAAAATATCCCTTTTCTTACAAATCAAGAGTATTAACTTTACCTCAATATCTGTTCCATTATCATTCCCGTCATCCAAAAACAAATCTGAAAGACCTGCAGCTTCAGAGAAGTCATGGCCAAGGCTGGGACGGTTTGTGTCCACAGAATGCCTCCTCCATCTGTGCCTGGACAGGTGCAAATCCACTGAAACACTTTCATCAACTCTGGATATGGGCGGACTAATGGAATAAGATGCATCTATAAATAAAGATAAATAAGAGAAGATTAGAGATCAAAATGTAATGTGATGTAAATTTACAAGTTACTTCCTAAAGATGTAAATCTAAGTCAGAGCCAGTGAAGGCAAAACAGTCATTAGGAAACAAAAGTGAATAACAACATGGTAAAATGGGTACAGTCGACATACAGTGTGCACCAACCTCGCTATGCAAATACAGACTTCCTGAAAGTCAGAGTGTAGGTCACACCCACATCCCACAGTGTAATGCTGGAGGCTCATTAACCTATTAGAGTCCTAGGCATTACCACATACAATATGGATGGCATGCCTCTACATGCCTCTACTGCTACTATTTGAATACTTGCAACAGGAGTCTTCTGCGTTTGCCCAAGAGAAAACAAATCTAAGGTATATACTGGCAGCTTTTGGTCTCTGAATTAGCATGCATCTCCGTGTTTAACATGTTTTTTTTTAAATGGAAGGTTTACGTAAAAGGTATTGTAAATAATGTATGCAATGTAGGTAAAAGGGTTGGATAACAGGCACTTTCTGGTCAAACCCAAGAAGCCTCCATATCCCGAAATGGTATTTAATGGAAATGTGCCCAGAGCTTTTATGATGCCTATATAGCTCACGCCCTCCTGTGCTTTCCTATTGGCCCCCCACTCATCAAGTTTCCTGGCAAATAAGAGAGCACATGAAGGAATGGGTCACATATCTACCATGCAGTCTTTGTTGTAGAGCAAGCAGGTATTGGGAGGTTCCTGCTATTAAATCTTGTAGATAATGTAACATCACAAACAAGACCACAGCACATTTTATGACTTGCGTATATAGGCATATTTTCAAGTCAGAACTGTTATTTTTCCTCGTATGGAAATTTTACAACAACTTGATCCAGCTTAGAAGGAGGTCAGAAGCACATGGAATTGAACTCAGCAGCATCTCAAACTAATCTCAAATGCAATATGAACACAGCTGAATGCAAGCTGCATATTCTCACCAACACAAGCCCTTAAAGGGAACCTGCTGCTTTGCCCTGCATGGGGAGCATGTAGCTCACTCCATTTGCTCCCAAGTGACTGGCAGTTGCTCGGTAACTGGCCATTCAGACTCCCAATACTGTTACATGGGGGTGGGGAAAGCGTCTTCAGCCCTATGTAGGCCCCATTCACACCTGCAAATGTCGCTGATCACATAAATCTCATGAATTTCTCTGTGAGACTCCCGCAGGCATGAGGCAATGTATCAAATGACAGCTGCCACCAGCCGCAGGTGTTTGCAGGCTGTTTGCAAGAATTTGAAAAGCCTACAGTAACCTGTGGACGATCACACCTGGACACAAATAGTCTGCGTCCAGGATTGGATATCCACAGGTAATTGCAGGCTGTGCGATCACTTGCGAAAAGCTGCAGCCCATAACAGCTGCCATTGGCAGGTATGAATGGGGCTTTAAGTTCCAATTTTACAGAGGGCTTTGCTTTCAAAACAAGGGGTGTGAATGCAAGGTAAGCATAAGCTATTGATGGTATAATCATCACAATGAACCAATGAATTGGGGAGCAGGGGTTAGTGCACTTCAGTCTGGTGGTGGAGATATGTGCAGTCATAATAAAGGTACAGTTACCCAAAACACCCCTTTTCTACTACTACAAATTATCACTACAAAAGACGTTACTTAAAGAAGAAGTATTGGGAGAGTATAAAGCACTCTTCTCAAAATTCAGAGCCAGCGTGTAACACTGCAGGTGTCACATGCTGGCTCTATAGATTGAGAGCTGAGCGATCACAAACTGCTGATTGCTCAGCTCATGGTCTTCTCCCTGCAAAGAGTGGTGGCTGTCAGTCACTGGTCCCCGCAGGGAATCCCCCCTCCCCTCTCTGGGCCTCTAGCGCTCATTGGAGGGACAGACAGGGGAGGGGGCGGGCACAGCTGCCTCTGGCTCTAGTGAGGCAGAGCCAGCTTTCAATCAGGCAGCAAGGTGGATCTTTCCTGGCAGCAGCGCGTCATTGAGCTATCAGTAAATAGCAGGCAGAAGCCCGTTATATGTTGACTTTGGTCATAATAAAGGTACAGCTACCCGAAACACCCCTTTTCTACTACTACTACTACTACTACTACTACTACTACTACTACTACTACTACTACTGCAAATTATCACTACACCATGTTGTAGAAAGATTATTTCCCCGAATTTGCCCGCGATTACCCCGACTGGTTCGAATTGGTCTTCTTCCCACAGTATCGACCCTAATGGCTACAGGGTTTCATACTTATAATTCTTGTTATACATACCTGATACGCATTACTGCTGAGGATTTCATCACATTGTCATGATCTAACTTCACAATTTTTTTTATTTTTTATATATAGTCTGTGTACTGAAACATGACCCACGAAACTTAATAGTGATTGATCGTTGTGTAATGATTTCTTCCTCTTTCTTTTAATAAAAATTTTACATGCTTAAAAAAAAAAATTATCACTACAAAAGACATTACTTAAAGAAGAAGTATTGGGAGAGTATAATGCACTCTTCCAAAAATTCAGAGCCAACGTGTAACACAGGATGGATCTTTCCTGGCAGCAGCGCAGCTTTGAGCTATCAGTAAATAGCAGGCAGAGGCCCGTTATATGCTGACTTTGGGTTATTAAATATACTCCTTTGACCCAAAAGAGGTCAAAAAAAAAGTTTGGCTTTACTTCTCTTTTAATGTTATTATTAAATATGACCTTTTCATTTCAATCTACAGCCGCTACGGTTTTCAAAAACTGTCAAAGAATGAAAATGTTGCTTTCTCACAGCTATGGCTCCAAAATCTAATAAGCATTCTTTGATTTTGTTTGCTAAGAATTTTTTTATTCTTTTTTAAAAAGGTCGAAAACAAATCCTAAGAAAAACCACACACACAGCCAGTACGTGGAATATTTTGTTGATAAGATATATGAAATTTAAATGACTCCGTATCTAGCTTAAGCAGTACATGCAGTTTATAATTGAAAGTGTCGGCTTAGACATTCAAAGCATATTATGAGCTTGTCAAAGCCTCTCTTGTACAAGAGAACATTAAATTAGGCTGAGGTCCCGCTCTGAATAACAGAGGAGAATAAATATACTTTGGGAAGTATCTTCCCTGTCTCTGCTGGTTATCATAAAATTAACCACTGTTGTAAGATTAAAATCAATATAATATGTTTACTGAGCAATATGTGGCATTTTACTGACAAATTTAACACTTTAATAGAAACCTGTTACAACATATACATGGGAATGGCCATTGCTGAGGCAATGCTGCTGATATACTGTCTCCCAGCTTTTGAGTGTGCAATGTGTGAGGTCAGGCATATGACTGGCAGTAGAGGTCAGAATTTATGTTACTATTAACCCAGTGACTAAAGCGGAAGTCTAAAGGTGCCCATACACCTTACGACCATCGCAAGACTTTTGTCTTGCGATGTTCGTAAGCTTACTAAAAGCTTGTACGATCTGCCCATCTTGGACGGGCAGATCGTACTTGCGATCATCGAAAGGCCGCCCCGCTGAGGGACGGGCTTCCGATGACCGCAGTGAGGGGCAGACTTCCGATCACTGCAAACGGGTTTTCAAGCCTGCATGTTCGATAGAAGACTTTAGTCTAAGGTAAGTAAATAAATTATATATAGATATATATTTCTATATATACATATATATATATATAAATATATATATAGTATATTGCCAAAAATATTTGTGAGGTCAGGTACTGATGTTGGACGAGAAGGCCAGGCTCGCAGTCTCCGCTCTAATTCATCCCAAAGGTGTTCTATCAGGTTGAGGTCAGGGCTCTGTGCAGGCCAGTCAAGTTCCTCCACCTCAAACTCGCTCATCCATGTCTTTATGGACCTTGCTTTGTGCACTGGTGTGCAGTCATGTTGGAACATGAAGGGGCCATCCTTAAACTGTTCCCAAAAAGTTGGGAGCATGAAATTGTCCAAAATGTCTTGGTATGCTGATGCCTTAAGAGTTCCCTTCACTGGGAATAAGGGGCCAAGCCCAACCCCTGGAAATCTGGAGTGTGAGAGGAATAGTAGGAAAAAAGAGTCATTCAGTTCATGTGCTGACAAGAAGCATGCTGATAGGAGGAGAAAGCAGAATGATAGAGTTGAGCTGATCATTGTGCTGCTTTTCCTTTCACTGTTCAATTACAGGCTGGGGCGGGTCCAGGACAACCTGGGTTTAGAGCAGTGGGCAGAATGATGTTGGCCATCAGACTGAGGACATCTAGTGACAGAAAAAAAGTACTGCAGGGGAGATTTTTGGATTGAAGATGAACATTGCAGCAAAAGCTGTTTTTTGGGTTTTTTTTATCATTTAATGAGCTGTTTGTTTTAATTGTGAGCTGCAGGCCCAACTCTTTAATAAGGCAGCCTGAGGCTGTTGCCTCAGGCAGCATCTTTTTGGGTTGTGTGGGGAGCGGAGCAGCCATGCCTCTCTGCTGCACAATGTTTGCAGTGTGTGTGCCTGCTGTCCCCTTTCTGGGCAGGGCATCCCAGTTTTGCTAAGATATGGGTGGAGAGATGTATAAGGGCCATAAACATCTCCCTGCCCAACTATTTTCAACCTGGGACACTCTGGTCGGCATCCTGGCCAGCTGGGAGGGACATCGACTACAGTCTCCTACCCCCCTCCCACTTCCAAAAGGCTAGACACACCACTGGTGGGCTGTTTGTATTCATGTTGTTATTACTGGCTCAAGTTCTGCTTCAAGAGCAAAGTATTATCGAGCTACATCCTGGCAAGATGGCCCTTAATAGTACTGTAGATCTAATCTAGCCAACTACTGTCCCTGGGGAGGCACTTTAGAAGTGAATGCTGCTTTGGGCAAATTTATAGAGTAGCTGCAAATTGATAGAAATTAATTTATAGCGAAATTGGGCATTCAACATCTTGCTTTGTATACTGTATATGTATACTGTATATCAGATTTTTGTTTTGTTTTCATAATTATTTATAAAGCAGCAATTTACAAGAACATG